GGGTGCTGTACGGGCTATTCACAATAGCCCGTACAGCTCCCGAACGTGGCCGAGCGGCTCAGTCAAGCCGAACGCATATGCATCGGCTCGGCTGAGCCACGCTGAAAGCTGACAGCCTGCTTCTGACAGCCTGCTCCGGCCACTTACAGAGAGATCAGCGTCCCTGGTTACCAGCTAACCAGGCACACTGATCTCCAAACAGCAAACTCTCCCTGGTGACCGAGCAGAACAGAAAAATAGTTTTAAAAGTTTTTAAAAAGTAAATAGAAAACGATTGTGCGGAGCTAGCAGTGCCTGCTAGCTCCGCCCAATAGTTTCCTATTGTCAGGCGGCTCTGACAAAACTCTCCCGGGCGCTCTGGGAGCCTCCCGCTCCCGGCCACCAAGGAGAGAAACACTGCTGTTTCTTTTTTTTTCTTTATTCTGACACGCAGCGATGTCCGAATAGAAAAAAAAATTAAACATTTTCCCATTGGAATGCATTGCTACATTCTTATTGGCTATTTCAATTTGCAATAGCCAATAGTAAACTAGCATTGTACCTGCCCTCTGCTGCAGTTCTCCATCAGATCCATCAGCAGAGGGCGGTTACAATGCTAGTTTACTATTGGCTATTGCAAATTGAAATAGCCAATAGCAATGCATTACAATAGGAATTTTTTTTTTCTATTCTGGCATCGCTCCGTGTCAGAATAAAGAAAAAAAAGAAAAAGCAGTGTTTCTCTCCTGGGCGGCCGGGAGCGGGAGGCTCCCAGAGCGCCCGGGAGAGTTTTGTCAGAGCCGCCTGACAATAGGAAACTATTGGGCGGAGCTAGCAGGCACTGCTAGCTCCGCACAATCGTTTTCTATTTACTTTTTAAAAACTTTTAAAACTATTTTTCTGTTCTGCTCGGTCCCTCTGAGGAAAGGCCGTCCGAAGGACCTGCAAGCGTGCGTCTGGAATGGAAATGTTTAATGCTTCAGATTTGCTAAAGTTCAGTTTGAAGTTTGCCAGTCTACCGTACACCTCCAGTTCCCGCATAAGGTTGGGCAACGTTATCTCGGGGTGCGAGATGTAAAGCATCAAATCGTCTGCATATGCTGCGACTTTGTGATGTCCCGATGGGACTTCTAGTCCTTGAATGTCTGTGGAAGCCTGTATCCTCCTAAGGAGTGGCTCCAGGGTGAGGATGAATATAAGAGGTGACAGTGGGCACCCCTGACGTGTACCATTCGAGATGGAGAACGGCTCCGAGAGGACCCCGTTGACCCGTACCATCGCTGTGGGTTCCGTGTAGAGCGCGGTGATCCATTTCCTCATGTTACTCCCCAAGCCAATGTGTGCAAGCGTCTCCCTCAGGAATGACCAATCGACCCTGTCGAAAGCCTTCTCCGCGTCTAGGGACAGTAGGAGAAGAGGCCGAGACTGGAAACGGGCCAGGTGGACCACGTTGAGAGTCCTTATGGTGTTGTCCCTGGCTTCACGGCCAGGGACAAAACCAACTTGGTTACGGTCAACAAGGTCCGCCACAAAGGGGAGCAAACGTGAAGCCAGGATGCGTGTGAAGATTTTCAGGTCAACATTCAACAGTGATATAGGTCTGTAACTGGCACATTGTAGGGGGTCTTTTCCTTCCTTAGGGATAACAGTAATGTGGGCTCTCTTTAGGATAGCGTTGAAGGAAGATAAGAAGTGTGCGCCTAATTGCTCCCGACATCGCTTATAGTATGTCAGAGTCAGCCCATCTGGGCC